TGTTCAGGTATGCTCTCTATCTGGGTACCCGTATTTTGGGGTAGGCAGCTTGAAACTCCACAAGGGTTGGGACATGGGCCTTTGGGAGCCTCAGCTAAATAAGTCTGAGAATGGTCCTTGCTATTTAAATGCCTGTGGGTGACAAATGTCTCCTTATAATGAATTCACCTCATATTTCTAGTGTTTCCCAAATAAAATAAGTCTTGTATGTTAGACAAGGTAAAACAATAATCTCTTTCCAAACTGACTAGCATCTTGTATCTCAGTTAATACCTGGAAGGTCACTTCCCTTGACCTCAGTTACCCTACTCCCTCTCTCAGACCCAATGCTCTGCTGCTGTTCTTAAGGTTTTCAGTGGCTAATTGCTCAGACGTGGACATCCTATGCCTTTTTTTGTAGTCTGGCCTTAGTCGGAACGCTCTGCTGAAATCTGTCAACTTTGGGTGGCCCTGGTGGTATTCGAAATACCAGTGGCATAGTTTCCAGCAATGCAGCAACATGTAAGCAACCACAGTATGACACACTGGCAAACAACTGACAGACTCATTGCTGACACCAAATGGATCTTGGTTAAAAGCAGAACGTACCAGAAAAATGCTTGCTTGTATTTCATTGGCTATGAGAAGGCATTCACCTGCGTGGATCACAGCAAACTATAGACAGCATTGAGACAGATGGGAATTCCAGAGCACTTCATTTTGCTCACGATGAACCTGTACACGGACAGAGGCAATTGCTCAAACAAACAAGGGATCACTGCATGCTTTAAAGTCAGGAAAGCTGTGTGGCAGGTTGTCTCCTCTTGTCATACTTCCTCAATCTGTATGCTGAACAGTGAGAGAAGCTGAACCATAGGAGGAGGAATTCAGCATCAGGCCTGGAGTAAGACTAGTTAACAACCTTCAAAATACCGATGACACAATCTTGCTTGCTGAAAATGAGGATTTGAAGCACTGTGTGATGGCGATCAAGGATTGCAGTTATCAATATGGTTTACAATTAGATGTAGAGAAAACAAAATCCTCACTCCTGGACAATCGATTAACAATTACATTATGATAAACGGAAAAGATTGAAGCCGTCGAGGATTTCATCCCTTGTATCCATCATCAAGGCTCAGGAAAGCAGCACTCAAGATATCAAATGATCTTTTGCATTAGATTATCTGCTGTACAAGATCTCTTTAAAGTCTGGAACATCAAAGAAGTCACTTTGAGAGCTAAGGTGTGCCTGAGCCACGCCATGGTATTTTCAATTGCCTCATATGCATGTGAAATTTGGATAGTGAGTAAAGAAGGTGGAGGAATTGGTGCGTTGCATAGTGCTGCTGGTAAAGAATATTGAAAGGACCATAATCTGCCAAAAAGACAAACCAATCCCTCCTAGAAGAAGTTCGGGCAGAGTGCTTCTTAGAAGCAGAGGAGGCAAGACCTTTCTTACATACTTCGTACATGTTGTCAGGAGAGACTAGTCCCTGGAGAAAGATGTCAGGCTTGGTAAAAGGCAGTGGAAAAGAGGAAGACTCAATCAGATAGATCGACACAATGGCTGCAACAATGGGCTCAAACATAATAAAAATTATGCGGATGGGGCAGGACTGGACAGTAGTTTGTTCTTTTGTACACAGGGTTATTTTGAGTCAGAAATTACTTGGTGCCATCTACCAACAACAGCATATGAGAGACGGC